TTTGGTGAACGGCTCCAAATTTTCTTTAACGGAAGGTAGCCAGACTGATCTGCGAGTGAAACCTTGAAAGCTTGCGAGATCAGGATGGTCTCACGAGGCTAGTCTCTCCCCCTCTCTCATACCCTCTTTCCTGTCAGCCTACAGTGGAAAAAACGAGCCACTAGTGCCGTAAAAACTCAGCGCCAAGTCTGTTTGTGTCAGCTCAACACGCCCAGTGCTGTGGTTCTATTTAGACTGAAAAAGAACACAATCAGGATGGATGCTTGGAGTAATTACTCTTGTCATGATCAGCTGGACTTTGGTCTTTTGGGTGTAAGTGTATAACCTGACTCTGTACCTTTGAAGGGTCACACATGTTCAAGAGTTTGGGACTTCAGTGACCCCGAGCTGTTGCAGTGGGCTGGTTGACCAAAGTTACTAGTTTAATGTCTGAACTCATTCAGGGAGTCACATAGGAACCAAGAAGACCATTAAAAGTATCGCAGACCTCATCTATTTCAGGCAGAGTTAATGACTGGTTGATAAGAAAGAGACGGGGCTAAAACAACAGCAGCCATACAGTCTCATGGACAAAACCAACACTGACCAAAAGTGACAAAAGCTTTTTTAACAAGACTTTTTTCAAAAATTTATAGACTGATGGAAGGAACCTCTGTTCCATTACATCAAGAGTTTTCACCTGGATTTAATGTGAACACAGTGGAGGGCATCCAAAGAAGAATTTAATTTATTATCAAAGGAAAACCACATTAATGCAAACGTTAATAACTGTCTGGAAGAAGAGTTCTTAAATAGATCTGGGTTGTTAAAATAACTTATCCTATTGTCTAAAATGGTAAGATCTGTTTCAGTTCAAATTTTGTTTAAATGTTGATGTTCACATTTGTAAATTTCAGCCATAAGTAAAGCTCTTTTAAAACTTTCCTATTTAAACTCTATAATTACCCAACAAAACTGGATTCTCATTATGTTGTCCCTTAATCTAAATTGTTTTGAGTAACAGCAGAGCTAGAAAAAAAATGTATTTTGAGTTTCCATCTGTTGTGATTAAAGCATCAGGATGAGCTGAGTTAAACGCGGTAAAAATGACAAAGGTTTGTTAAAACATTTATGACTAAATCATGACTGAGACCTTATTGAGTTTTCAGATGTTAGTTCACTAAATGAATGGGACTTTAGTCAGTAAATCAATGTCATGGAGCACAAGTTTAAAAGCAAATGTCTTTTTTTTGTGGTTTAGAATTCGATGTTTGAAACCTAACCTGTATCTGTAATTGTTTTTCAGCTTCTCAACCCAAACTTCATACAGACAGGTGAGAAACAGATGCAATCACATGATCCAGTGCAGCTTTCCAGCCATTCATCTAGGATGAATTCTGAAAACTTTAACTCAGAGTTTATTAAGGTGTAAATAAACCCAATTTAAAAGCATAACCAGAGCCCTGATCAGTTTTAAAAACCTTCACTACAGTGGGAAATGCCAAGAGACATGTCCAAGTGTGGGGATGAACGAATGGTTAAGCGAAGGGGAATTCAATATAACAAAAAAATTGAATAAGTCTCTAAAGTAAAATGCTGCGCTGACTAATCAATTCAGTTTATTTCTATAGCACCAATTCACAACACGTCATCTTAAGAAACTTTATTGTTCACCAGATCATACAGTCAAATTGATTGAATGTTTTTTATGTAAAGAAAACCAGTTGATTGCATCGACTCTTTGACTCTTCAGCAATCCCTCACACTAAGCATGCTTGTAGCGACAGTGGAGAGGAAAAACTCTCAATTAGTCCCAATTAGATAAACTACATGAGAAAACATTAGTTCTGACACTCAACAGGCTGCTATTATTAGGGTATAACAGACTCACACATCACCAACAAGAATAATCCTAACACTTCCTTAATTTATGTAAAGTAGTAACCATATAACATTTCCCCACTTTCCTTGATGGTTCCTTGGCTGGTCCCCTACAATTCCTTTTTAAATTGATCTTTGTACTAAAATATTCTTTCTGTCATTATTTGTGAACATTAAGATCTAAAGAGCGTCATCTTAACGTCATCTTAATTCTGTAAAGGAGTGGAGTCGAAGTAAAAACATACTCTAGAGGGGGTCACTCCAGTGGCTGGAAGTTGGATGGGATTTTGCTGGGAGTTGCAGGGAAGTGGGCTGCCATTCGCCTGGCATTTTGAATGGCTGCTACTGTAGGGAATAGTATAACAATCAAATAAAAATAGGTGTGCAAAATNAGTGGAGAGGAAAAACTCCCTTTTAACAGGAAGAAACCTCCAGCAGAACCAGGCTCAGTGTGAGCGGCCATCTGCTGAGGCTGACTGGGGTTCAAGGAGACAGAAGCAGAGATACAAAAGCCAACTGTAAAAAGGTTGCCCATTTTATCAATGTTAAAATGCTATCAATCATTGGAGCATAATGTCTCAATCTAATCCAAATGTGTTAAAGTTCTCTCCGGTTCTTTACCTGAGAAGAGATCAAAATACACTTAATAATTTATATGTATTACATAAACATGAGACATGATTTTGACAGAAATTGTAATCTTACTCAGATCAGAGAATTTAGTTTGGTTACAGAAGGCAGCGCTCACCAACCAGGCTCACATCTCGTTAGTGTGGACCCAAATCATAGTTAAAGAAGCATTTTATACAAACTCCAGTCTGCCACATCAGTACATCATTACATCATACACGTTAGCAGATGAGGGGACATCCATGGCTCACGTCTTATCAAAATAAAACACTTTGTTCTCAGATCAATGATACTGCTTTCATTCCATTCCCAAACCATTGCCACACGCATAACAATGATGACCTTTTATCCGGACAGAGGAACCGTCTTAATTAGATAAACTACATCACAAAACATTATTTCTGACACTCGACAGGCTGCTATCATTAGGGTAAAACAGACTCACACACTTCCTTAATTTATGTAGAGTAGTAACCATATAAAATTTCCCCACTTTCCTTGATGGTTCCTTGGCTGGTCCCCTACAATTCCTTTTTAAATTGATCTTTGTGCTAAAATATTCTTTCTGTCATTATTTGTGAACATTAAGATCTAAAGAGCGTCATCTTAACGTCATCTTAATTTTGTAAAAGGGTGGAGTCTAAGGTTGCAGGGAAGTGGGCTGCCATTCGCCTGGCATTTTGAATGGCTGCTATAGTAGGGAATAGTATAACAATCAAATAAAAATAGGTGTGCAAAATATAATATTACTCTTGTAGTATATAGAAATTATCCAACTAGTACAAGAAAATTCTCAGACCTCAGATGAACAATCATGACAATCAAAATTAAAATCAAGTTTACTTTGCACTTACAAGGAATTTGACTTAGTGTCGATGGTGCAGACTAATCAGATATATGCTGCTTTAAATGGTTTACATTAACATTATTTTAGTGTGTACGGAATAAAAGTAGAATGCATGTCTCAGAGTGCCCAGTGAAAAGATACCATTAAAGGTCCAGAAATTCTGTACCTTTCTGGAGGAAAGAGCTGTGATGTATTTCCTGTGTTCAGTGGCTCCTGAATTCCTGGTCCCGCTATCGGATGTAGTTTGTGCATTTGGAGAGACGGTGGTCCTTTGCTGTAAAGTCTGCGGACGGCCCAAACCCTCTGTAACCGTGAAGGGCCCTGACCAAAACCTGGTGACCAGTAACAGCCGCTTCACCATTGATATCAGGTAAAAGTGATCACCGGTGAAATCAGAATGCCTCTTTATTTAGTTCTTTTCACGTCTTCCTCACGTCTGTTTTGGTTGTTCTTCTCTTCCTCTCCACTAAAGGGACACTGGTGACATCTTACTGAAGATCTGTAATGTGATGCCTCAAGATACAGGTATCTACACCTGTGTTGCTGTTAATGATCACGGCTCTGCTTCTTCGTCCGCCTCCATTAAAGTGCAAGGTGCCTCCTTTTTTCCCTTCTGTTAAACACTAACCACTTCCACAATCATAAAACATATTTAAAGGTGTATCTCTAATGCTGTTCTAATAAACTGAAGGTATCCCAGCGGCTCCAGGGAGGCCCCTGGCACAGGAGGTGAGCAGCACCACAGTGCTGGTCCACTGGCCCCCTCCCGCTTCATCCACTCATTGTGCCATCACCAGCTATTCAGTAGAGTACAGGCAGGAAGGTCTGTGGAAAATGCTAAATTGTTGATGATATTTAATATTCCAAACAGCCTTAACATTTCCTTCTCTTCACACTTCTTCGTTCTTCTCCGCCACCCGTAGACTCGTTCTTGTGGCAGCAGGCGGCCAGCTGCAGGGAGGAGTGTGTACAAATCGATAATCTTATTCCTGGAGGTCACTATCAATTCAGAGTTCGAGCATCCAACCGCTGGGGGGTTGGCCCACCATCCCAACCCTCAAATATGGTTACACTGGCCAGCTGCAGTAAGAACACACACTGACGCACACAGAGAGATGGAACAGACTAAAACTGCAACTTTTCATATCAGCCTGAAAAATTATTTGGATGGATGGATGGATGGATGGACGGACGGACGGACGGACGGACGGACGGACGGACGGACTGACTGACGGATTGATTTGCATAAAACTAGACTAAGGCATCCAAATCTTATGGTGGGATATAAACACTGACCTGATCATAGGTGACTAGGAAGGTTTACCGTGTATACTTTAGGTGACGGCAACAACACCTCTTTAACACCATGATATCAGTACACTAGGCTTCACTGCCATAAAAACTGATTCCAAATCCACATTTCCCCCCAAAATAGCACCACACTGCAGTCAACCTACAGTACATCAGGTGGATGCCAGGCACCTGGGGGGCTCACTCCATCAGCTGCTCATTGAGCCAGTGTTCTGGTCTGACAGATCTGTGCATATACTGCTTTATTACTTACATATTCCTGCATATGCACCAGAATCAGGCAAAAGGCTATTTTTCATCTGTTGTCCCTGGAAAGATCTTAAAATTATATACCTAAAAATACAACAGTAAGAATTTCTACTGTAAATAATAGAAGTATAAAAAGAAGGTATAACTCCTCAAAACTTGTTTAAAAATACAGAATTAATGTTTGCTAGACTAGATTAAAAAAATTATCTATCTATCTATCTATCTATCTATCTATGGAAGACATTCAACTAATGCTGACATAACTTGTGTGTTAATATATGTTACATATATAACCTTTCCAATCGCATTTAGCTTATTCACAGCCTACACTCAATTTGCTTGTTAACAAAAGAAATATTCTCTCCCAACACGCTTGTTACTGGTTCCGTGGAAACTGAGTTAAAACAATAATGCTTCCATTGAATCCTTAAACTAAATACAAGTTTTGATTTAGCGGTGAGACAGGAGACTAAACCACCATTAGCTCAATAGTTCCTTTAGGTCTTTAAATTAGACTCTCAAAACACTATCTGAAGAATGTGATGCCATTTCATTCGCAGCATCTTTTTTTAAAGTAATACAAATTTAAATCGAATAGGCAGACTTTTCATTAGAAATGTCCACACAAAAAGGCTTAATATCATGTTTTCCACACCAAATTGCCTCCAAATGTCTTGAACTTCTGACCTTAGACCCTCTCGTTCTCCTGCTTCCTCTCTGCTCAGATTCTGGTTGTGATGGAACAGGGATTCAGTGGAAAGAAAATTTTGAATCAGCCTTCACAGAAATCAACGAGATTGGAAGGTAAAACTTGTTTTAATTCACCAGAGAACTAAAAACAGGAACAATAATTTTAATTGTTGATCTCTATCTCTGTTCTTTGATAAGGGGGCGCTTTTCAGTTGTGAGAAAATGTTTCAGCAAACCAGCAAAGAAAGAGGTAGGACATGGCGTCACATTGTGAAGTTTCTATTATATCCTACAGCCCAGGGTTGCAGTTTTATATTTGAGTTTTCATGTCAACTATATTTGATGATCTTTATATCTTTTACAGTAAACTGTTAAAATTCCTGGCTTTGTGATCTTTCTTTAAAAACTTCTGCTCCATTACATAAACTTGAGAAAGTTTCTGCAAGAATTTCCATGAGTTTCAAAAAGCGAGCTTACATTAAAGCACTTTTTTCAGTTATTCCATTTAGAGTATCACCTGCATGTGCCAGAGCTGTTTGTTTTAACAAAAGCCAAACATGTGATCCTCATGGCCTGATTTACTTGATCAAATCAAGACTGGTTTCTCTCCAGTGCACAACTTAGAGCCTCATGGGCCAAAGCATCCATGGAGCTTTGGGCTGCCCAACTGGTTCCCATAACTCCAGCATATTCTCTGTCTGCACATATTGTCCTTATGTGCCCATGTCATGCCCACCATGATGCTGCAAGAGACAAGGCCACCCCTACAATTTCAGACTTTGCTTGATCTTTATATATATATATATATATATATATATATATATATATATATATATATATATATATATATATATATATATATATATATGCTTTATTTTTCCTATTGTGATACTTTTAGTATACTGTGTTGAGATTCAATAATTTTTCACTGACATTTACTAAGTAGCTTCACATGATGTTAGTTTTTTTGCCTACATCTTTAAAATAAAGAAATATTTGTTGTTGCTTTTTTTTCGTGTACAGGTTGCAGTGAAGTTTGTGAATAAGAAGATGCAGAAGAAGGAACAGGTTGCACACGAGGCAGACATTCTCCGGCATGTACAGAGCCACCAAGTGGTGGTCCTGCTCGACACCTACGAGTCCTCTTCCTCTCTGATGCTGGTCCTGGAACTGTGAGTCTTACGGCACCAAATGGGCATAATTAAAGCTGAGTTTTATTGTTACAGTGCCACTGCTGTTTTCCTGGTTAAGACATGTTTACTCAAATGGCATCTCTGTCGAATCGTTGTTTGTTGAAGGCTGGAAGATGGCCGTTTGCTTGACTACCTGGTCGCCCATGATGAGCTGATGGAAGAGAAAGTGGCGTTTTTTATCAGAGAGACTTTGGAGGCTCTACAGCATCTCCATACTTGCAGGGTCGCACATCTGGATCTTAAGGTGATGAAAAGGAAAACATAAAAAATATGCTTTTTTTTGTTGACTGGTTGAGTTGTATTGATTTTTTTCTTTCCCTTTGCAGCCAGAGAACATCATGGTGGATCTTAGAGCTCCAACTCCGTCCGTTAAGCTCATTGACCTTGGCGACGCTGTCCAGCTCACTGCTAACCGCCAATATGTCCACCTCTTACTTGGAAACCCTGAATTCGCCGCCCCAGAACTCATCCGAGGAACGCCGGTCTCTGTTGCGACAGACTTGTGGAGCATGGGCGTCCTGGCCTACGTCATGCTCAGCGGCGTATCGCCCTTTCTGGATGAATCACCAGAGGAAACTTGTGTAAACATTTGCCGCCTGGACTTCTGTTTCCCGGATGAATACTTCCGCCATGTGAGTCAGGCAGCCAGGGATTTTGTGTTGTCAGTGCTGCAGGAGGATCCCAGGAAGAGGCCTAGTGCCACTTCATGTTTACAGCACCCATGGGTGGGACGTGGGGGTGCTCAAGGAGGCGAGTACTCCAAGACGCCCCTGGACAGGTCAAGGCTGGCCACATTTATTGACCGAAGAAGACAGCTGCATGACGTTCGTCCTGTCACCAACATCAAAGGTTTGGTGAGCAGCAGTATGGGAAACACACTGTGATGGAGAAAGCGGTAAACATTCTGTCCATCTGTGAGCGCCATCGCTAAAACTTCTTCACCATCTACTGTCTGATGAACGCACGAGTGGAAAAGGTTCCTGTTTGTTCCAACATTAAACGTCTTGGTTCTGTATGAGTCACTATTTGAAAAATAATAGTGTCTTCATTTTCATTTCCTAAACAACACTCCTTTCAAAGAAATCCTCTCAGCCATGTGGAGAGACACACAGAAACATTCTCTCCAAATCTTTTAAATCCTTATCCTGCTCCAAAATACACTTGTTTCTTTTTAATGCTCTAAAAGTACAGGCCATCTACTTCTTATTTTCAAAAAGGTATTAACGATACCTTGAATGCTAAGAAGAAACAAAGGCCTTTGAAGGACAGTCGACCCACAGCATCACAGGTCCTCCACCATACCATAAGATGGATCTTTAAGATGATCAGTGAGGACCTCCATATCTTTATCTAAATTCATTATGTGGGTCAAACACAGAGACTATTTCTGATGTGAATGTTTTCCTTCATGTAGTAAAGCAGCTTATTTATTTAGAATTTGGAACTTAAAGCAAAAGTTGGACAATTCTAGACATTATTGGTTTGTAGGACCGGATCATCAGAACGCCAAAAGGACTGCTGCTCACAGGAGGCACCTAGTTTTACAGCAAACTCACTCTGAATATATTTGAAAGGAAATGGGTTGGAGCAGAGTTTTTCATCCACTCTACCGATATAAAAGGATACCAACAGAAACCAGTGTCATTATGACTCATTAGTTCTGGAAACTGGTATGACTTTATTAGACGTGTTTGTTTAGGATTTATTAAGTAGGTAGGAAAAGAGGCAGACGGCCGTGCCTTACATGAGCTGTGGTTCTTTAATATAGTAAAGTGGATGAAGCTGTAAAAGGAAACAAAATACCCGACCATAAAACGCACCGTGATTCTCTTTAACTGACCTTTAAAGGGTAGCAGGAATATTTGTGTACGGAGAAGATCTATGGAGAAGGAACCATGTCCCTTTTTTTCAGTTGGATGGTACAAGCGCAATGACACTGGACTCTTTGTGACTCTTTGTGACTTTCTATTTTCAGTGTTAAGGACTCAAGAACATGTTTTCACAAACTGACCAATGTAACATACATATTTATTTTGTTATGATGATTTGATCTTGAATACAAAACAGTTCCAGCAGAAAAATATGTGTATCAGTAGAAGATGTTGTCCACTGTATGGTAAAAAACTACACACAGCTACAGGTTGCAGACTGTTAGATTAATGTCAGATTGTTTTTGTAGTCCTGGTTCTGTAGGACTGTACGTCCAAGTGTAACCAAGAATGTAAAGATCTTGTTTTGTTTGACGCTGTAGAGATGAGAAAAAGTTCACTTCTTTTTCCACTGGCCGGACTGTAAAGCAGCAGATTTCAGGCCCTGAACGGCTGGAAGTTACACAGAGAGGACCTGTGGATCGAATTCAAGGGGAAAAAAAGGCGTCACCTCAGTTCATTAAACTGTTTACAAAGATTTTTGGGTAGAATCGAGGCGTGTAGTTTACAGAGCAGCAGAACTATCAGGGATCATCTACATGTAAAATCACCTGGGATAGGTTGGAAATCAGGTTATAAATACGTCTGTTTCAGGAAATGAAAACTTCAATATTTCAGTAATCAGGTAGAAAAAACATCACACCCATTTGGTTGTACATTTCCAGCTTCTACCAGTCACTGTGGCAAACAGCCTGCCTGTATTTGTGCTGATGTCTCTATTTGACTAATCTCTGGGGCAGATGTTTGCTTCTCTGTTGCAAATGAATAATGAATGTATTTCTTAGAGAATGTGTTCAGTAAGTATTGTGTTTTCATTGGGCCACTTTCTCTACATCACCTGTACCTTAGTGAGCATTCAGTGTGCTGCAGTAGAAAGCCTTGATTTTTTTTTTTTTATGCAGTTATACAATGATAGTTTAAGCATAAATCATCCACTGAGATAAATAAATAAGATCTGTTTGGATTCAAGACTGGTGGATTTCAGCCAAATCTGTTCAGTTACTCATAGAGTAGACAATCTACCGTACCCACACTTCATCACTTTCATTCAAAAACAGCAGATTTGATCATTTGGTTGTAAACCTTCAAACTATTATCTACTCTTTATTATCCAAACTAATGAATTCGAAAGAGGGAGAAAAGTGAAATCAGTTAAAAGAAAAGACCCCTCTGTCACTCTTTACAATGCATGAAGCATCTTGGCTTTTTAGGAAGAGTATTAATGACATAAATAAAACTATTAATTGGAATAAATACATCAGTATAATTTGTCTAAAATCTATTTACAGGACAAAATGTTTGTTTTAATATAGATTTAAATGACATTCTGTGTGTATTATCAGATTAAGACCTATTTAAAACCAGTCAAAAAGAATTACACTTCCTTTATTGTAAGGTAAACATGAGGAAAACCAGTGAGTAGCTTGATGAATTATATTCATTATGGATCAAGCTAAGATGATTGAATAAAGTGACGATAAGATTCACTCATTCTAATATGAGACATGTTTATTTTATTTAAAACGTTAAGCTAAAAAAAAAGGTTTTATGAAGTGGAAAATTAGATGTTTAACAGCTTCTCACCTCAGAAAAGCAGAGTCGGATAAGGAACAAATAAACCTTCTTTTCTTTCCAGAACCACTGAGTTTCAGAAACGGACTTATCTGCTCCAACTTCTGCGTAGATCTCACTGAAAGAGAAAAGCAATGCCGGTTTCTCAAGGAATTCCTTTAGTTATCCCAGTGAGTTCCCAGACTGGATTTAAAACCAGATGATGTCAAATTGTTTCTCCAGCCTTAAGAAAACAATAAAAACAAACGGTTAAAGCTCTCCCTTATAAAATCCATAACATATGAAGTTGGGGACATTAGCATACGTCACACAGACCTGAGGAATTACTTTGTTTTTGTTCATCTCTGTGAGGTGGGCTGTGCTAATACCTCCTGCTACACAAAGGATTCTGGGAAACTGTATAGTCCGACCAATGCAGCAGAATGATAGAAGGTCCCTGTGCAACATGAACCAACCTTAGGAAGCATCCTGTTTCCTCTTCCTACCTCCTTCCCTATTGCCTTCACTATTCAGACAGCTCTGATCATGGCAAAATAAAAAGAGTTCTTAGCAACAGAAGAACACAATAATCAATATTTAAAACTCTCACTCAAGGGCAATTTTTAATGAATTTTAAGAACATTCATACTGTAAGATCTATAGACCAACATTAATAGAAATCCTCTTTAAAGCATGAAAATTGTATTATAGATTCAGAGTTAGAGTGAAGATTATTGTTTTTATACAAGCAAGAACGTGTTCCACCAAAGACAGTTTTCCATGTATTTTTACTTATTAAGATCTCAGCACATTATTAATCATTTAAACGTTTATCAATATCTGGTGGAAACATCTTTTTATGTATTAATGGGATCCATTTTTTTTTTCATTATTATTTTATGTCCTGCCTTGTTGTTTCTGCCCAATTAAGTATTCCAGAGAGCAAATATATAAGTTAAAGTTTAAACCAGCTCACAAAGAACAGAAAGAGGCTTTTGAAAGGCCTCAGAGACAACAGTAAAAATCTTGTCACGTTTAAGTTTTCAGTCACCGGGTCATGGCAGCCGAGGTCCATCCTCCTGAGCACAGTCGAAGTTAGATGCAAATTAATGACCAACCCGTTGTCCATCTGGGTTGTTGGTGTCACATCTAAATTATGATGCTCACAGGTTTAGACTGACAACAAGTGTGCACAACAAGCACAGTGGATGTAACAGAGCTAAAGTGGAAAAGTTTTTTTTTACATAAATAAGTAAACCAAAAAAAACAAAAGATTTCTATAAAAGCACAAAATTCCCAAGACTTTAAAGTAGGAACATTTTTTTATTATTATTTAAGTCCTCACTGACAAATACAAAAAAAGCAACAATCACTTCCTGTGTCACATAAGGCCAAGTAAATTTTAGGTTTATTTATTAACTTAATTGCTGCGATTCAGTATTTTCTATGAGAGTTTGCTTCTAGTTCATTTCACTAGGTTCCCTGTTAAGATTGTAAATGTCAAATGAACTATAGGAGAAAAATCAGGTTTACTCCACAAGTTAATGCAACTGTCCTAATATAAGCATGAACCAATATGAGGGGGGAAATGTGTTTCTCTTTAAATAACCAGCCTATTCTGAGGAGATTAAAAGGCTTTAAACTCTGCTAATCAGGGAACTCATTGAGTAACTGAGATTGCATGCCAGGTCACAGAACTCTGTCATTTTAAAATTGTCAAAGAACCACAGAGACCATCTCAGGAGTTGTTTGCATGTAGACTTTCCTCAGCTGCCACGGTTAGTACTGAACAAACTAAAAGATTAAGTTTCACTCATCATCCTGGACCGAGCTGTTTCCCGTGGACCTTCCAAGCCTTTTTATGAACCTAGTGACACTAACATCTACTCTATGTGACTGTGATTGTTAGATAAACAGAGCTGAATTCAACCACATTAGATAATCAGACTCTGAACTATAGGCCATGTTTTTCCACTCACTTATGCTTTCATGGTGATGAGAATATCCATGATGTGAAGCTTAATATTTATGAAACAAAACTAACATTTCAACTGAAGACTATACATAAATGTTATCTTTAAATCAAGCCAAGATAAGCCACATGCAGCAAAATCTATCTGGTCCATCTTCCTCTTTTAAACAAAACAAAACAAAAGAGCTAACATAACAAAATCCTTAATCATAAAAAGGTGCATTTAGCACCCAATAAAAGAGTGGAATGTTGTCTTATCAGCAGGTTGCCTTGAAAACTTGAATGGCGCTAAAGTTGGGTAGAAAAGCGAAATAGTGAAATGGAAAAAAATTTGCTTGATTCCCTTGAAATGACTGAAAATATTGGAGTTCTGGTTCTGGTAGAGTTCTGCAACATGCAGTTGTTGATCTGCTCTAAAAGAACTCACACCATTCCTTCTTGCATCTTAGCACTCAGGATCTTAATGAGCTAAAATCTTTAAATGAAAGTAGTTCACATTTTTCATTCTTATTTGTGTAAATAATATGATATCCTAGTTCCTGCTTCTAGCTTCTTTTTCAATTTTTTTCATTAATGGATCTTAGAAAAGCAGTTTAACAAACTTTAGTTCATCCTTTTTTTTTTTTTTTTTTTTTTTTTTTTTTTTTTTTTTTAGCAAAATGACTCCCGATTAATCCAGGGTGATGAATCCACCATCCCACAATGCACCTCTTAAGCCATGCAGGACTGTGCTGGCTAAATTTTGTTAGAGGCTGTGTTCATACTAGAGAAAAATGCTGATGCTTCATGCGGCTGTGCGACTCAGCAAACTTCTGTACAGGATCCAACAACCTGCTGGTTTGTTATTCTTTACCAATAAAGCAACCTGCTGGTTTGTTATTCTTTACCAATAAAGCAACCTGCTTGTTTGTATATATTTATATGTGTCCTCTGCTGTGTTAACTGGCGCTTCAAGAAGATGTCTATTCTTTTCCACAAGGTGGCACTATAACTCTTCACATCCATGGATTCAAATCAAGAAATAAAAAAAAACTAATTTCATCTACCAATCAAGATGATTTGTTTCACACCAAATTTGTTTTGCCATATTTCAGATTCCCACTGAAAGCCGAGGTAAATTAAGTTCAAGGTAATTTGCATCATGGTCTTTTTAAAAGGTAGGTTTCTTGGTCATAGGTTATTTTATCCAACATTGCTTCATGCCATCTAGTTTCCCTTCAAAAATGTTTTTCTAATTCATCCAGAAATGTTTGTCCTTCCTGCAAACTTGGAGCATAAATATTTAACAGTAATCTTCTGAGAGCAAAGATGACTACATGAAATTACAAAATGACATTTATTTAACATAAACTTCAGACAACACTAAATATTTTTACTTTATCTCATCAAAGTGCACTAACCATTATTAAAATGGTGGAAGATGGGAAAAGCATAGAATGGTTCAGATATGGTTCTAGTTGAACAAACAGGACAGAGTAACAGGAATGGGAAGAATGATGTCGGTTTTCAGATTTTTGATTTACAGTTTTTACGGTCTAAAAAACAGGTTAATTAAAAAGTTTTAAACTGCCCAGTTCAGCTTGTTCCTGAGTTCCAACAATCCCAACATCAAACAGTTTTACAATGAGAGCAACAAATCTTAAAGGATAAACAAAAGCAATTCACCTTTCAGTTTAAAATATTTTATTTTCTCACAAATCCCATTGAGCTGAAACAGCCTGTTCTAAAAGAAATCCCTATAAAAGCAGTGTTAAGAAAAATACAAGGGGTAAAAATAAGCCCATAAATCGCTGTGCGTTCTTTCACATTTTCTCTGAGTCTTGGAACTGTTTGAGAATGTATTGGATGTACAGTAGCAGTCCATGTTTGTGGTTGATGTTTGGAAAGCGCTTCATATTTCCCAAAAAGAGA